TTTTTGTTTGTTTTGCTTTTTACTATAGCATAAAAGAAGTAAAGAGATGAGCGATACAATTAGAAGAGTTGACAGCAAATATTTAGACTAAGGTGTTATCCTCTAACTACTATAAGCTAAAAACTCTGATTGTTAAGCCAGTGTAGTAGGATCCTTCTTGATCCAGGCCTCATTGATGTGCGTAGAGGATGTAGAAAATGAGTCAGAGGGAAAAGTTATTTGTTCCAATAGGGAAAATGGGAGGTGATAGGAGCCTATATATGGCACTAACAACAGGAACAGGGAAATTTGAGCCGAGAGTAATGTCAGAATCACAGCCTACAGGCCAAACGTTGGAGACAAGGATCTGAATGACTGTCAGCTTTGAAAGCAAATTAGACTTTAATAATTGAACTAAATAGGGTGGTGTGGAGACTACATTAGACGGGTGGAGTTAAGTGCTGTAAATTGACCTGAAATCTCTCCTCCATCTGTTACTTCTTGCCATGAATTTTCTTTTGAATGGACTAATGAGGTTAATAAACTTCCCCAAGGAGTTAATCTTTCACAGGAAAAAGTTTAAAAGTTCTCAGTGACTTATCCTCACCAATGTTCCTTTTCCTACCTAATTCATTACACAGAACTGCTTAAAATTCTGAGTTCTTAGGGCATTTGGAATTCAAGTACCAGCATTTCTCACTTGAGCAAGCTGAATATGCAGAGAATGTATTCCTCTCTCTAGAAAAATAGACTTGGCCTTTTTTGCCAATTTGTTGTAAAGTTGGAAATATAGTGGGTTTAAAGGTATATTGCCTGATCAATAAGTTCTACTTTTCTCTTTTAATGAATCTGTTCAACAAACATTATTCCCAGCATTTGCTACTTCAAACACTGTACTAAGTGTAGTGTCTTTAAGTCAGAGGAAACAAAGTTAATTGCTTTTTTTCTTTTCTTTCCCTTCTGAGAATTAAGGTAGATTCTTTTGAACTCTGGGCCTGGACACTGTCCCTCAGCTCTTCAGCTCAAGGCGAGTACTCTACCTCTTGAGCCACAGTGCCACTTCCAGTTTTCTGAGTGGTTTACTGGAGATAAGGGTCTCACAGACTTTCCTACCCAAGCTGGTTTTGAACCACGAATCCTCAGATCTCAGCCTCCTGAGTAGCTAGAATTACAGGCATGCGCCACTGGCACCCAGCTAAATTCTAATCTTTTACAAAAGCATTCCTGTCCATGGGCATGAGAGCGCCTAAGGAAAGAAACATATCTATATATTGGTTCTCTTCTTATCCTCAGGTCTTAGCACATGTTCTTATTACATACATGAATAAACACATGCTCAAAATCCATGAAATGAAGCAAAAACCTAAAAGCAAGATTAGAGTCCAGATCTTGGGTGGTCATGGATGTTTGCACATTCCCATGGAGTTGCATGTCTGTCTGTGGATGCGCCTTCCATGTAAGATCTAGTATCCTGGGCTAGGAATGGCTGTTGGCCATTGCTAAAAAAGCCAGGGTCAGCATAAGACAGTGGTAATGGTCTTGGGTCCTGGAAGCAGACACTTAACACATGTTAACTATAATAAAGTTTAATGAATCTTCCAAGAAAGGTGCTTCAAGACCCAAGATGTAAGAGGGATGTTCTTATGAGTAGGCCTTCTTAGCATGGTTGCTTAATAAAAGCCTTCCTAGAGACTCCTGGAACTTGTGTGTTGCACAAAGAAGATTTAGGTAATGTGGGCTGGTGTCAGTCTGTACTTCACAAACCCAGCTGTGCTCCGGTGTGTGGGAATACCTGCTGAAGCTCTTTCTTTCATGTCCTACCAAGGTCACCACATCGAGTCACAGTTGTGGACACCTAAAAGGTCAAAGATACGTAAATGATTTTTAGGTCAAGTTTGAGCTGGAAGCAACAGGTAGAGCAACATCATCTGAGAGGTCTTGGTATTTGAAAGGCTCATCTTGAGGAGATGAAGGAAGTTCAGTAGGCCTAGAATGTAATGTTGGAAGCAAAGACCAGCAAAAGTCATAACTGTCATGTGTTTGTGTTCACTACTTGGACTGTGATAATAGCTCTCAGTGCATTGTTCATTGAGATCACAGAGATGGAGACACTTGCCAAATGTTCTGTGTTAGAAGTAGTAGAACAGCGAATCAAAGCCAGGTATAACTCAAGAATCTGTTCCAAACCACTTGTTGGGATTATTCTTCAAACTAAATCCAAATACTTTCAGAGACAGAGTGAAAAGAGACAAAAGTGAAGGTGGGAAGACCAAGTAGAAAATAATTGCAGGGGCTGGCTCAGTGGTAGAGTGCTTGCCTTGCATGCCTGAGGCCCTGGGTTCAATTCCTCAGCACCACATAAGCAAAAAGAAAAAAGCCAGAAGTGGTGCTGTGGCTCAAGTGGTAGAGCGCTAGCCTTGAGCTGAAGATCTGAGGGACAGTGCCCAGGCCCAGAGTTCAGGCCCCACTACCGGACCCCCCCAAAAAAAGGAAATAATTGCAGAAATCTATGTAAGACATGATGGCAGATGGCCTTGGAAATAGAGAGGAGTAGACAGATTTCAGAGAGACAGGAAGAAGAATGGACAGGCCTTGCTGCTTGAACGTGAGGAACAATGATGAGAGGAGAAAGGAAGCAAGAACAATTTTTAATGTGGCTTTATGGATACTATGTGACATCCTGTGATAGAAAAAAATGGAGGAACAAGTTTGGGAAGGAGGCAGGTTTAGGACTCTTCATGTTGAAGTATCTTAGAATATAAAGATGGAGATGTCCAGCTGACAGTTCCATGCTTGGCTCTGAACCTGTGCATTTAGCTGACATGGACAACATAGTTGGAAATTGATTGACATTAGAGGTTTTGGGGGTATAGTGTGACGACAGTAAAGTGTTCCAATAAGGATAATCTTGCTTTAGCAGAAAACGTTTTCCTTAGATCCACTGGCTAAACCTTATAAAATATAATCTGACTCATGATTTATCTGAATTCTTTATAAAAACTATTTTTTCTTTCTTTTTTCTTTTGACCACACTCAGTTTGAATTCAGCACTTTTTGCTTGGTAGACAGGTGCTTCTAGCTTCACTCTCCCCCCGCCCTTTATTTGTCTTGGTGTGTATGCATGTGTGTGTGTATACTTATATATACATATATATATGTGTGTGTGTGTGTATATATATACATATATGTGTGTGTGTGTGTGTGTGTGTGTGTGTGTATTTGTGTGCCAGTACTGGGACTTGAATTCAGGACCTGGGTGCTGTCCCTGAGCTTTTTTGCTCAAAGGTAGCACTCTACCACTAGAGTCACAGCTCTGCTTCCAGATTGTTTTTTTTGATGGTTAATTGGAAATACAAGTCTAATGGACTTTCCTTCCAGAGCTAGCTTCAAACCTCTACCCTTAAATCTCAGCCTCCTGAGTAGCTAAGATTACAGGTATGAGCTACTGGTACCTGGCTTGTACAGAGCAAGGTCTTGCTTCCTGCCTAGGCATGCACCTGGAATGTAATTTGCAGGTTTTAGGCTTTGTACAGTAACTGGAATGGCAACCACATACCGCCATACTCAGTTTCTGTTAGGATGGAGTCTTTCAGACTTTAATGCCCAGGTTGCGTTGTAACTGGAATCTATCTGACCTCAGTTTTCTACACAGTTGGGATAGGCCTAAGCCACTGGCCCCTGGCTCTCAGGAACTTTCCATTTAAGTACAAGCTAGAACCAAAAACCTGAACAACAAAGGGCACTATCACAATGAAAAATAAGTGGATTCTTTCTGTTTGTGTGGTACTGAGGAATCAAACCCAGGGCTTCATGTATGCTAGGTAGGCACCCTACCACTGAGCCACCTTCCCAGCCATAGATTCATTATCATCTTAGGTGTTTTCTTCCCTACTCAACTGTAAACCAATAAGTTCAGAAAACTTGTCTACTGATCTGAGACACAAGGAAGTCCAACACTAGTGGACACTTGAATATTTGCACAATCAATTAATTCAGACTAATACTCTCATTATACAAATAAAGACTCTGGAAGTTTTACAATGTTTACTCAATGTACTAATATCATTTGGAAAAAATATTAAAAAAAGAAAAATAAGTGGATTCTTAATTTTTTTTGCTTTAAAATCAGGATTTAAACTTAAATGTGACTCATGTACTTTATATAAGAAATTGTGGGATAAAAAATCATATTAATATTAGAATACAAGAGTGGCTGCTCCCATCGCAACAATGAGATGTACAAGTAGTTATGCCGAAAACGACCTTTACAACTTTGGTGCGGGGGGGGGGGAGAAGCGGGGAGGATTGGGTGGGGGGGCGAGGGGAGGATGGGAAGGGGAAACAAAGGAGGAGGCTACAATGCTTGATAGAAATGTACTCATTATCTTGCCCATGTAATTGTAACCCCTATGTATGGTATTTTCACAATAAAAAAAAAGAGTGGCTGCTATACTGCTAGGTCAGCTTTATGCAGAATTTCATGCAGAAGCATGAGTAGACAGCAATACAGCAGTAACATCAGTGCAGGCGGTACTGATCAACAGCCCCTTTACATTGTGACCTCACATAACTGAACACAATCCTTCTACAATATGGAGAGTTGGATGTTTCGGTGTCTCACAATACACTGTTATGAAAATAAGCAGGGCAAGGCTCTGGTGGCTCACAGCTGTAATACTAGCAACTCAGGAGGCTGAGATCTGAGGATTGCAGTTCAAAGCTGATCTGGAAGTGGTACAGTGGCTCCAAGTGGTAGAATGCTAGAGTGAAAAAGCTCAGGGACAATACTCAGGCCCTGAGTTCAAGCCTCTTGACCAATAAAATGAAAAGAAAGATATAAGAAAAGAAGGAAGGAAGCATAGAAGGAAGGAAGGAAGGGAGGAAGAGAAAGAGGGAAGAAGGGAAGGAGAATATAAGCCACACCTCCTCAATGTGCTACCCTTAATCCTGTCTAAATAGGCCACCTCCTCCAAAAACAAGATGAATATTTAACTGAATCCATTGTTTTCTCCCTCTTGTAGAAAACATCACCAACAGTCTCTACATGATGTGGCTTCTGGGGCCTCAAGGACTGCCACCTTACACGTGCACAGTGGAGAAGGCAGGAATGGAGACACAAATACCACAGCTTCCGTTCTGTCACTAATCACTTTGTAGACATGTTTCTCCATCACAGTGTATGAACTGCACTGAAGGGGTAAAATTCTTGGGGCCTCTAAATCACCCACACCCTTGTCTCTCTCCTTGGAGAGACGGCAGAGCCATGGTGTTATACAGCAACTGTTTGATCCTCTGGGCACTGGCCTGGCTCTCCTCTGCCTATGGGCCTGATCAGCGAGCCCAGAAGAAAGGGGACATTATCCTTGGAGGCCTTTTTCCTATACACTTTGGAGTAGCAGCTAAAGATCAAGACCTAAAATCAAGACCAGAATCCGTAGAGTGTATCAGGTAAGAGAAGGGGACATATCTTTGAGGAAAACTGCAGCAAACCCAAATAATTAAAAACGCAAGTTTCTCTCTTTACAAAAATGGTGGTTAGGTATCATGCTGAAGCTTATTGGTCCCTCCTCTAGAGAATTTTTTTTTTCCCAAAATATAAAATGTCAAGGGTATTGAGTAGAGATGCTATGACCTCTCCAAGGCCAGGCCTTTGGTGCTCCCAGCACTCCGTAGCAGGGTAGCTTAATGGAAGATTAAGTACCTGTAATTCCTGCAGACTCTAGTAGTAAACTCCCCCAACCTTAAAATGCTTCAGTGGTCAGGAATCCCTGGGTACCAGCTGCCGACCTCTTGCTTTTCTTTAGTAAAGGAATTTAGAGGTGCAGGAAACCTCTCTGTAGTCAACAAGACTCAGACACTTCTGCATGCTACGTAGGCAATAGCTCTTTGTAACTGTTCCCATTTAAAACTCTTTGGGGCAGGGCTGGGAAGGTGGCTCAGTGGTAGAGCACTTACTTTGCATGCTCAAGGCCCTGGGTTCGATTCCTTAGCACCACATAAGCAAAAAGAAAAAAGCCGGAAGTGGCGCTGTGGCTCAAGTGGTAGAGCGCTAGCTTTGAGCTGAAGAGCTGAGGGACAGCGCCCAGGCCCAGAGTTCAGGCCCCATGACCGGACCCAAAAAAAAAAAAAAAAACTCTTTGGGGCAGCACAGACTACTGCTAATCTCTTGTGTACTTTCTCTGTCACCATTTGAAGGGAGCCCAGATGTCCTACTAAATCTTTCCTTCTCCAGAAACTCAACATTCTCAGTTTTCTCATCAATTGCTCTGTAATGTGATGTCCAGCTCCTGCATCACCTCAGCTGTTTTCCACGCAATGTTCCTTAATTTATTCTGAGCCCTTTAAAATACAGTATGCTAAGTGAAAGTGGGCTTAGTGGTAGAGCATCTTACAAGCACAAGACTCAAACTCCAGTATTTCCATTAAAAAAAAGCAGTACTCAAATGTGACACTCAGCAATAGGCAATTGTTTGTAGTAGGATCTGACCCCTACAGAATAAATGAGGTTATTATCTCCCCTGATCAAGACAGCAGAGATTGTGACTGCACTCCTCGTTTTGGCCCAGCATCTTGGAGTAGCACTCTCAGTCTTGTCACTTCTAGAAGGCACTTTTCTTACGACTCTGTGATAGCTAGAAAATGGGAATGGAAACCAAGATTACTACAACAAAATTGGATTTCTTTTATTCATGCTGTAATGAGAGCTAGTACACTGACCATTTACACATTGCTATGAATGTAAAATAAATGCCAAATCTCACAGATACTGATCATATCTGTCATGTGACCCAAGTAAAAAAATGGTCACCATGCTGTCCACTAAGAGGCACACATACACAGACCTAAGGCCAACCAAGAAGACGGAAGTTTACCAGAGGTATAAATACAGAAATGTTTTTGTAGGTTTTAAGCAAAATAGTTATAAACATTATAAATGAAGGAAACAAAGTGGCACATTAAAAAGTTAAACCAAAGCCAAGCACAGGTGGTTCACACCTGTAATCTTCCTACTCAGGTGGCTGAGATCTAAGGATCAAGGTTTGAAGCCAGCCTGGGCAGGAAAGTCTGTGAGACTCTTATCTGGAGATAAGAGTTTAGTGAACTAAACTACCCAAAAATCCAGAAGTGGAGCTGTGGTTCAAGGGACAGCTCCAAGGAAGCTCAGGAACAGTGGCCAGGCCCTGAGTTCAAGCCCTACAATTGGCATGCATACACACACACATACAAAGTTAAACCAGAACTAGGCTGGATTCTGTAATCCTAGCTACTTGGGAAGGGGAATTTGGGGGAATATGTTTCCAGGCCAGCCCAGATATATGTTTGTAAGACTCCATCTCAACTAATACCTAGGCTCAGTGACACATGCTTATCATCCTCAGTGACAAGGGGAAAACCAAGTAGGAGGGTTACAACCAAGCCAGTCTAGAAATAAATACCCTACTTCCAAAAATAACTAATACAGAAGGGAGTGGTAGTGTGATTCTCAGGTGGTAGAGCACCTACCAGCAAGCGTGAGGCCCTCAGTTCAATCCCTAGTACCACAAAAATTAAACCTGAAGGATACAATGCAGTATAACAGATGAAATTTCTCACCTCCTGTCATTGAGTTCAAGTCATTCCCCACCCACCATGTAAAGGGAGAACCTGCTACCACATGATTTTCCCCCTTTGGACTTTGATTCATTGTGTCAGCATATTTCTTCAGCCCTCATGCTGAGCCAAGTGCTGGGAGAGTAAAACCTGGCATGGACTCTCTTTCTTGGTAATTTGCCCGATTTCTATTCAAAATGATGTTCTTCTTAGAAGAGTTATGCAGCGTGTGTGTGTGTGTGTGTGTGTGTGTGTGAACCTTGGGCTTGAACTCCGAGCCTGGACACTAGCTATCCTGAGTTGTTTTTTTTTTTCCTCAAGGCTAATGCTCTATCACTTGAGCCATAGCTCCACTCCTGGCTTTTTGCTGATGAATTGAAGATAAGAGTCTCACAGACTTTCCTGCCTGAGCTGATTTCAAATTTTGATCCCGAGTTGCCAGGATTGCAGGCATGAGGCATGAAACACAGGTCCCAGGCATGCATGTTCATTTTTAAAAATAAAAAGACAAATAAATCAAATAAATCTTAACACTGATAAATAATCACTATGTACATCCTCAAACGCTTGCTTGTTTATAAAAATGAGATCATTCCCATTCTTTTCCCCCATTGACCTCTAGGAAAGTCATAGTCTACATTTGTGGTTGCAAACCCATTTTCTTGTACTTCTTTCTTCCAGGTATAATTTCCGTGGATTTCGCTGGTTACAAGCTATGATATTTGCCATAGAGGAGATAAACAGCAGCCCAGCTCTTCTTCCCAATATGACACTGGGATACAGGATATTTGATACTTGCAACACCGTTTCTAAGGCCTTGGAGGCCACTTTGAGTTTTGTTGCTCAGAACAAAATCGATTCTTTGAATCTGGATGAGTTCTGCAACTGCTCGGAGCACATCCCTTCAACGATTGCTGTGGTGGGAGCCACAGGTTCAGGCGTCTCTACAGCTGTGGCCAACCTGCTGGGGCTCTTCTACATTCCCCAGGTACTGGTGCTTTCTTAGATGGGCACTGAGGGCAGGAAGCAGGGAAGCAGGCTTGGAGGAGGGCCATACCTGCAGTGTTCATGCAGTTTATTGTTTCCTACCTCTGATTTTACATTGGCACACAAAAAATGTTTGTACCCAAGTGCCAATGGCTCATGCCTATAATCTTAGCTACTTAGGCAGCTAAGATCTGATCAGAAATGTCTGAAGGACTCTAGTTCTCTAAAACTAACACAAAAAAGGCTAACACAATGGGTAAGTGGAAACAACTCAAGGGCTTGAGTTCAAGCCCCAGTACTAGTAAAAATTTAATAGTAATAATAAGAACAAAACTGTCATCTAGTTGGAGCATTAAGTAATGATTATTAGATAATTGTTGGGGTTTATGAGGCCCTAAGTATGTCAACTAGATCTTCATAAATCTCCAAAATTCTTTTAAATGTACCTTACATATATATATATAACTCAGATTTTTTTCATTATTCGGGTATTTCTCCATCCATTCATTTAGTAAATGGCCTTTCTTCTGCTTTTTTTTAAAGGAATGAGACCACACAATATAAATTCTATGTTTCAAACTAAAAATGTCTTTTCCCCCAAGTTTCTACTTATGTACTGAGGAATTGAAATTTAGTTCAGAAGGAAACAACACTTTGTTTCTCTCAAAATAGGTACTTAATCATTACCTTGCAATTTCAGAAATGGAGAATATATTTTATTTGACAAATATTTATACAGTATATGAGTAAGCCATCTCCACATTGCAGGAGCTTTGCCTTCGTGAGAAGATAGTTGCAGTTTCAAATACTAACAATTCACTGAAACAAGTGGCTTAGTAACTATTTAAATATTTATTAGGGCTAATGATAAGGATAAACTCATAAAATGACAGCAAACTCTAAATGTCATTTTTTTGGTTTTTTGTTTTGCTTTTGGTGGTCATGGGTCTTGAACTCTGGGCCTGGGTGATGTTCCTCAGCTCTTCAGCTCAAGGTTAGTGCTCTACCACTTGAGCCACAGCACCACTTCTGAATGTCATTTTATAACCTAATTTCCCCTCTTGAAGCCTATCCTCAGTTAACTATTCATAGAACGGTAACATCATTTCATAATTGGGAAAAAAACTGGAAATAACCTAAGTGTCCACGGAGAAGAAAATCAGCTCCATCATAGTACATCCTTCATACCAAATCTTAAATTAAGTTATTGATCAGGTCAAATGTAATGTTTAGGGGCTGGGAAAATGGCCTAGTGGTAGATCACTTGCCTCGCATTCATGAAGCCCTGGGTTCCATTCCTCAGCACCAAAAAAACAAAAAAGCCAGTAGTGGCTCTGTGGCTCAAGTGGTAGAGTACTAGCCTTGAGCAAAATAAGAAGAAGGAGAACAAGAAGGAGGAGGAGGAGGAGGAGGAGGAAGCAGCAGCAGCAGCAACTCAGGGACAGCACCCAGACCCTGAGTTCAAGCCCCAGGACTGGAAAAAAAAATTAATGTTTAAATGTTGCTACTAAATATATCTTTGATGAATTCACATTTCTCTGTTGGAAGGGCTCTGTGTGTTTGGTGGTCTCCATAACCCATTTACACACATGTCACACAGATGGAGTCATCACTTATTAAATCCTTACCTTAGGGAAAGAAAGGCATTTCCCTTATTGAAGGAGGGTTTCTCCAAAATAACTTTTGTGCCAAAGTCCATATTAGTAAACATGTTAGGCCCATTTAAAGTTGGTGTATTATACAGTGTTATTTTAAATACGCAGCGTTGTTACTCCTTGGCCAACCAACATAAGATGGAATACCATTAAGAAAAAAAGAACATAAATGGGACAGGCTTAATTTTGCATGGTGCAAATGGTCGATAAGGAGAAATTAAGTTTGAATTGTGAAAATGCTAAGAAAACTGTCATGCTTATCAGCCAACCCAGCATAAGTTTGTCTATGGCAGTTGTTCTGCCAGAACTGAAAGTTGGAGGCTCTCAAGGAGCTTTACAAATCCTGCTGCCTGAGTCCCACTCCTTCTCCCCCAGAGATCAGAGATGAAGCTGGGGTGATGCAGCTTGGAAACAGCGGCCCTCATATCTGCACAGCTGACTATAGGGCACAGCACAGTTTGACACCGCCCCGTGGTACAGTATTTCTTGTGCCAGTCACGCCACCTAGTGGATAGAACAAGCAGGCCAATGAGGACAAATTGTAGTTTGGAAGCCTTTTATGAATCATTCAATGAAATTCTCCCCTTTTATAAGAAAAGTTATCTAGGTTATTATTATATTTTTATTGTAAAGATACTGTACAGAGAGGTTACAGTTACATCAATAAGGTAATGAGCCATTTCCTCTTGAGCATTGTTACCCCCTCCTTTGTTTTTCCCCAGCCATCCCTTCCCTCACACACCCCCCCCATTTGATTCCGGTACCCTGAATCTTGTATATACATTTTTCTAATTTGGGGAGGGGAAGGGAAATAACAAAATGCTGAAACAGGGATACAGTTATCTAGGTTTTTAAGTTTTTGTGGAGAGAGAACATGAAGTATTGTTTGAAACCTAATCAAATATTATGAATATCTTCTCTTAAAAAATATCCATAAAGGATTTTTATCCCTTTAAGGTAATTTTTGGTCCATTTTTCAGAAGAAAATAAAGAAGCAAGCAGTAATAAGTTGAAAAAAATGGTAGGTTTCACATTTGTGAAATCCCAATTCAGAAGTTGATTACTTTGGTTTGAAAACAGAGTTCTCAACAACCTAGAAAATCTAAACAGCCCTTAATCTGATCACCTCCTGAATTTCTGTGACACATCAAGGTTTATCATGATGTAATTTTTTAAATGATCAATTTTATAGTACAGCTTCTAAGATCAAACTGCTGTCAAAAATACAAAGTTGATATCATTCTTTCATAGACTAATATGGGTTAATGTTGAAACTATTCATTGATTCAAAAAATGAAGAAAAGTAAAATTTTACTTAAAAACATTCCAAAATAGAAAAGTTTTATTAATAGAAAATTAATTATTGACCTTGTATATTAGTGCATATATGTAATCCCAACATTAGGGAGGCTGAGGAAGGAGGATCTTGAAGAGGCTAAGGCAGGAGTTCAAAACCAGTTTGGGTTATATAAGGACATCCTGTCTCAAAAACCCAAATAAAACGCCAGACACAAGTGGCTCTCATCTATAATCCTAGCTACTCAGGAGGCTGAGATCTAAGGATCTTTGCCCAGGCAAAAAATGTCCATGAGACTCTTACATCCAATTAGCCACCAAAAAAGCCAAAAGTGAACCCCTCGGACTCCTCTACACAGCATCTCCTCTGTGTGTGTGTGAGAGAGAGAGAGAGAAAGAGAGAGACAGAGAGAGACAGAGAGAGAGAGACCCTTAGAGGGCCTGATTCTCCCAAAGGTGGGTTATATATAAAATGTTCATCAGAGTAAGAGAAAGCTATAGTATTCAAATCAGAACCTTGGCCCAGGAGGCAGGAGATATGTATGGGAGTCTATTGTAACCAATGACACAACGCAGGGATGTTTAGAAGAAACCTGGTGCACACAGACTCTCCTTGAGATAAGGGCCTTCCACTAATGTCAGACTGGTGTTATGGCCGGACCCACTTTGAAGGTAGCATGATGGGAATTAGAAAGCTTTCTAAAACTAACAGATACTAGGGTGCACATGTTGGACTCAAGCACCTGTTGGGGATTCCTAGTGTCCATCCTGCCAGCACATTTGATAAATGAGACTAAGGTACGCTCCAAAACCCTCCTCCAGCACAGCCTTGAGCTACAGTGGGCCTCGCTCACTCACGCTAAGTCCTTGGTTCTTTCCCAGGTCAGCTACGCCTCCTCCAGCAGACTCCTCAGCAACAAGAACCAGTTCAAATCCTTCCTCCGCACCATCCCCAATGACGAACACCAGGCCACTGCTATGGCAGACATCGTCGAGTATTTCCGCTGGAACTGGGTGGGCACAATCGCCGCTGATGATGACTACGGTCGGCCAGGGATTGAGAAGTTCCGGGAGGAAGCCGAAGAGAGGGACATCTGTATCGACTTCAGTGAACTCATCTCCCAGTACTCGGATGAGGAAGAGATCCGGCACGTGGTGGAGGTGATCCAGAACTCCACAGCGAAGGTCATTGTTGTTTTCTCCAGTGGCCCAGACCTGGAACCCCTCATCAGGGAGATCGTCAGGCGCAACATCACCGGCAGGATCTGGCTGGCCAGTGAGGCCTGGGCCAGCTCCTCCTTGATCGCCATGCCCCAGTACTTTCACGTGGTTGGAGGCACCATCGGATTTGGCCTGAAGGCTGGGCAGATCCCAGGGTTCCGGGAATTCCTGCAGAAAGTGCACCCCAGGAAATCTGTGCACAACGGTTTTGCCAAGGAGTTTTGGGAAGAAACATTTAACTGCCACCTCCAAGAAGGTGTTAAAGGACCTGTGCCTGTGGACAGCCTTCTGCGAGGTCATGAAGAAAGTGGCGGCAGGGTAAGCAACAGCTCCACTGCTTTCCGACCTCTCTGTACCGGGGACGAGAACATCAGCAGCGTGGAAACCCCTTACATAGATTACACGCACTTACGGATATCCTACAACGTGTACTTGGCCGTCTACTCCATTGCGCATGCCCTGCAAGACATATACACCTGCTTACCCGGAAGAGGGCTCTTCACCAATGGCTCCTGTGCAGACATCAAGAAGGTTGAGGCTTGGCAGGTAAGTCCCTGACTTAGATAGTTCAGCAAATAATAACGCAGAATTCGGCCTAGTCAGGCAGGAAGGATAATAATTATTTTTTAAAGGCAGTATATATATTATATATTGTATACATATATGTATATATAATGTTACATCTGTATATACATATATATTTATATATACACATCCATATATAAGTATATATTACATATATATATATATATATATATATATATATATATATATATATCCTAAAATTACAGGAGACCGAATTAGAAAGGTCATCCAAAACCAGCCCTGGCAAAAGTGTGAGACCCTATCTGAAAAGCAAACCAAAAGCCAAAAGGGCCAGGGATGTGGCTCAGAAACATTGCAATTTAAGAATGAAAAATGTTTTAAAAGGCAGCTTCTAAAATGAGGCCACTATGTTAAATGGCAGCTCCTTTGTACAACTACTTAAAGATTGTAAAAAAAAAAAATAAAAAATAATGCATCTTTTCAAATATCTGAACAACCTACTTGTGCAAAATATCGACAAGATTAACTTTGTTTAAAGCCATGACTCAGTCTTGTGGTTCAGAGTAGAAAATATCTTGGAGCAGATCTAGTGCTGAGTAGAGTGGTTTTGCCTAAATTAAAGGTATGTCACCTTGTTAGTACTCAGTATCTGTTTGGCCAGTATCTGTTGGCCTCAAACTATGATCCACGTAAGTCCACCTTCTTAGCAGCTTGGATTATAGGCATGCACACCATGTCTACCTAGACCCTAAGCATTAGTCTTGAGTCTCCCATTATTATTGTTTATATGGCTGGACTTGATTTGCTAGCATTTGATTTAGAAATTTTGCATCTATGTTTAGGAATATTGAGCTATTTTCTTATACTATGTGTCTGATTTTGCAATCTCAGTAATGCTGTCTTTGGAATGAATTGGACAACTAATAGTGATGAGTGCATTTTTTAAAGAAATGTATTTAATCGGAAGTTATTACTGATCTCTAAGTGGTCTTTGCTGTGGACGCTCCCAGCAATTTCTGTTAGAGGCAGTATAGTACAACAGAAACGGCCATATGTAAACTCCAGCCTCTGCTGTGTTCCAGTGACTTATGCCTCTAATCCTAGCTACTTGGAAGGCTGAGAACAGAAGGATTTCCGTTCAAGGACACACTATGCAGAAAAGTTCATGATACCCTTTGGCAACCCATAGCTGAGCATTGGGGCACACATTGGTCATCCTGGTTTCATGGGGGTGAGATTAGAAGTGTCACAGCTCTAGGCCAGCTCAGGCAGGAAAGTCCCCCAGATTCCATCTCAACGGAAAAAGCTGGGTGTGGTGGCTTTTACCTGTCATCTTTAGCCATGACGGCTAAAGATTAGATGAAATAATGAATATAAAGTACTCAGAATTATTCCTCAAAGTTTGCACAATGACTATTACTTAATGTTTTTAAGTGACTAGTATGTATTGGCAATTAGTATTAATAATAGTAATTAATATTGTTACAATTACTTTTTGGTCAAAAGTTCTGTGACCCATAAAGCTTTATATAAATTGAAGGATATGCCATGACTCTGTCAACAATGATGACCAGGATGCCACCCACAGCTTCATTTCTCTGTTCATTTTGCCCCACCCTGATTTTCAGCAGCAAGGCACACAGATGCAAGATCATAGGGATAGAAGGAACAGATAGTAAAAACATTTAATCAGACTACCTCTTCTCCATCCACGCCCATCTGAGAAGATGCCAGGCAAGAATGCCAAGGTCACGATGCACCTGCAGAGGCTGTGGATTTGCTGGTAGCCAGGGGAAACATATCTCATTTTGAGTAGTGAGTAAAGCTTATGGCCTTACCAAGGCTGCTGCAGACCTTTGCAAGTACTATCATGAATATTAGAAGTAGGAGCTTCTAAGGTGCGCCCCTGTGGTTAAAGCCTGTAATCCTAGCTATTCAGGAGGCTGAGATCTGAGGATTGTGGTTCAAAGCCATCCCAGGTAAGAAAGTCCATGAGACTCTTATCTCCAATTAACCACCAGTAAATCAGAAGTGGAGCTGTGGCTCAAAATGATAGTGTTAGCCTTGAGTAAAAAAGCTCAAAGACAGTGCCTGGGCACTGTTCAAGCCCCATGGCCAGCAAAAGAAGAAATGGGAGCTTCTTCCTCAAGTCATGGTCCTTCATAGGAACAAGATAGCTTACTGTCCTTGTACAGTGCACAATCTACATAGCCATCTATGACAGTCCTGTGGCTCATGTTCATTCATCTCTCTTCCTCTTTAGGTCCTGAAGCACCTACGTCACCTAAACTTTACCAATAACATGGGGGAACAGGTGACTTTTGATGAGTGTGGTGACCTGATGGGGAACTATTCCATCATCAATTGGCACCTCTCCCCAGAGGATGGCTCCATTGTGTTTAAGGAAGTTGGGTATTACAATGTCTATGCCAAGAAGGGAGAGAGACTCTTCATCAATGAGGAGAAGATCCTGTGGAGTGGATTCTCCAGGGAGGTAGGTGTTGTCTCTCAGAACACCAGATGTGGTTCCCATGCACAGGGAGCAATGCTGACCTGGGGAAGGAACTTGGCCTCCCTCCTCCCCTTCATGAACTTCTGGGATAATGAGCCCTTTCCTTAACTCACTAACTCTTCTTGTCCAGGGCTCTGGTGAACTCATGAGTATTTGGTATACAGAGGAGGAGCCTCTGAACCTGAGCCCCGAGCTGTCTTATTATATTGAAATGATTTTACTTTTTATAAACATGACTCCCTGACCAATCAGGAAATTTCTCTGACTAAAATCCAACTCAAGAAGAAAAATATTCAAGCACACATCAACAGTCAGTGGCCCTGAACAGAGAGTTACATCCTACCTACCTACTTTGATCAGGGGAGATAAGTTAGACAATAGAAGTGAATACCACAATGACCAAGAAATACTAGTGGCCTTCTGCACTTGGGAACCTGGGATGCAAGATGTCCAGGATGCATAAGACAATCATACATAACAGAGATGTTCCACTTGCCCCAGTCACCAGTAATAGCCATGGAAACATCTGAGTCCAAAACAGAGCTGGGTGTTCTGGTGTTATCACCATGTCAATGGTATTATCACCATTGATAAGTTGCCCAAATAGTCAGAGCTGACCTATATACCAAACAGACCATTTATTTATCTATAATGGGAAACCTGAAAAACAGAGGAGAAAGCCTGTGACTCTGGTCAGAGGCCTCATAGAAATCTGTTTAATTACCAGAAGTCCAGCGCTCAGTGGAGATACACTGAAATGATGACCATGCTTTGGCTTAGGATGCAGCAAGATGCTGAACTCCAGCTCCTCAGGAGCACAGACTCCAGACCAAACATCTTTCTAACTCTTCCAGGAAGCCAAGCTGAGACTCCCCACTTTGCTCTTTGTATTTATCTTTCATTCACTGTTTTTCTAAGCATCTTGCACCACTTTTTGTAAAATGTCCTAGGATTCTACTTCATCCTATTTGCAAATGCTTTTTGGGTTGACGAGTGGCTCTGGTCTCATTGTTTGCCAATATATAGGATAGATTATGGGAAGGTCTCCTGTAACAGTAAATCCTGTGTAAACCTTTGTTAGTTTCTACTCCAGAGGTAGATTCTCAACTACAAATACAGGACCTTTACTAAATGGGGATATTGGATTCCAAAGTTTATATTCCTATGTCCACTAATTATACCCTTGTCTAAATTGTCACACATTTCCACTGACTGAGACAAAAATTGTTAAGCTATATAATCACCTGTTCACCCTTGTTGTATCATCTAGCTTATCTTTCACTCCCATGATGAACATAATTCATTGTATGCATAATGGATGCATGTCTCATCTCTCCTTGCTCATGGAAGTCACTTCCTGTACTGTTCTTTATAGCCCTAATATCCTCTATCAGGCATTGTGCTTCATGGGCTTAAACATTGGTCAATGAATGACAAAGAGTCATACATACAGTCATTTATGTTCCTTAGTACTTGATAGAGTTATAAGTTAAATGAAAATTTTCCATAGAAACCTTACTTCAAAGCAAGCATTTGGAGTTTTGCCCTCAACAAATCTTAGGGTCTAATCCACTCATGCTTTTCTGATTTTTTTTAAGAAATGACCACAAAAATACCATCTACATTTAACCATGAATTATATATTGATGATTTCCCTACATAACCTCACAAAGTTGCAATTGAGAAAAGTAATATCATCCTTTGATACACACATACACACACACACACACACACACACACACACACACACACACACACATTCATCCTGCTTATAAATGCAGGGTTTATATAGTATTACATGTGTTTTTCTTTTTTGGCAGTAGTGGGATTCAAACTCAAGGTCTTATGCATGGGAAGCTAGTGCAATGAACCCTCTAGCATTACATCTGTCTTAGCGTAAATGTGCTGTTTATTGTGATATTTCATACATGAATACAACGTATCCCAATCAAACTCACTCCCTCCAACACTCTCCCTTACTCGCCTCCCCTATTCTTAACACGATTTCAACCATTTTCATCGTTATGTTTTCATACATGCAGATACAATATTTGACCCTATTCATCCTCATTCACCATCTCTGTGAGCCCTCCCTTACTTATTTCACTGTTTTACTTTCCTTGTCATTCACTTTTTCCTTTTAGTGTGCACAAGCTTTAACCATGGTATTCCAGATGTCCTCTAGCATGGCATCTTAATCAATATTGTCCATTTACTTACAAATGCAGCACTTGATGACACTTTGGCTTAGCCATAAAAAAGGGACTTCCAAGGCCAAGTGTATGTTAATATAAGAGCTAACTCCAGACACCAAGGGTTCAGCTCTGACCCCAGTACTTCTTCCTCTAAACTCTTTTTTAAATATAATCTTATTATTATTTATGTGGTGCTGAGGAATAGAATCCAGGGCCTCATGCATGCAAGGCAAGCACTCTACCACTGAGCCACCTTCCCAGCCCCCTTCCTCTAAACTTGTGGGCTGGTAAGTACCACATTGTTTTGTTATAACAAGCAAAAATTAAGAGACCTCTGCATTTCAGACTTGGAATTCAAATGAGCTTCCTTGACCAAAAATGCTCTCACTGGAAACAGCTATAGACCCTTTCTTGATATTTTTTGGCTGGTTCTGGTATGAGAGTTAATTATGTGGGCTTCACAAGAATGAGAACCATTCCATAGTTCTCCTGCTACTTCAAATGATCCTATGTCACCTACACGGATTATTTCCAAGTTCTTCCCCTTGCATGGGTCAAAATAGCTATGGGACTGACCCCTGACCCTGGCCACTCACTTTCTTCCTCTCTACCTTCAGGTGCCCTTCTCCAACTGCAGCAGAGACTGCCTGGCAGGGACCAGGAAAGGGATCATTGAGGGGGAGCCCACCTGCTGTTTTGAGTGTGTGGAATGTCCTGATGGGGAGTACAGCGATGAGACAGGTAAAGGAATGGCCAGGCCTAAACCCTGTGTAGGGCTCAAGCCAGGTGGAACGGTTGGGGTTAAGGAAGCTCAAGGAACAACTGGGCTGAGATGGTGGTCAGGCCCATGGTAAAGAATAGATGAGAACAGCAGAGGTCTTTTTGAAGTGTTCATTGCTTATGAGCTTCCTTGGCAATATCTTTCTCTCCAATACTGGTTCCCTTTTCTCAGAGGTCAGTGACACTAAGTAGACAGGGTACCATCTGTTCTAGCTCTGAGTTAACAGGCCATGACAGATTACCTGCATTTCCTGGAACTGTTTTTTATCTCATATGTTTTTTTTTTTTCTGTGTCTCAAGTTCTTTCTTTTTTTCTGTTGGTACTGAGATTTGAACTTGGGACTTCATAGTTGCCAAGCAGGTATTCTACCACTTGAGCCATGCTTTCAGTCCTTTGTGGTTTTGTTATTTTTGAATAGGGTCTCACTCGTCTGCCTTTGTTAGTCTGGACTAGGCTGGCCTTGAACTGTAATTCTTCCAGTCTCTGATTATGGAGTAGCTAAGACTACAGGCATGAGTCACCATACTCAGCTACTCAAAGTCTTTTGAAGTGAGGATAACATTTAAGCTTGTCTTAGCTTTGAGACTTAAGCAAAACTTAGTATTGATAAAGCACATGGTAAGCTCTAGATACGTATTTTTTTAAATAAAACTTTGGCTAGCACTGAAAACACTTTATAAACTGTAATTATTCTTTTATCATGACTACAATAATGAGTTCATTTTCACATCCATCTTACAAATGAGGAAAGTGAGTTAATGGCCAGAATCCCACCCAAATCTCCAAATGCAAAAAACCCTGCCTCTTTCCTGGTCCCAATTTGCACACTGCCTGCCATGTGGCAGAGATTTGGTGAATCTGCAGCCTCTTCCATTGGAAAGCCATGGATACATGTGTGGTACGAGTGAAGGAAATACTGGTCATATGCAGGGGGCACTAAAAAGGAGGTCAGCTCTCCCAGGTCTGCAAAGTCCACTCAAATATCCAATAAAATCAGATGAGTACAAGGGAAAGAGTGGCATTGTTCAAAAGGAAATGTACTCTTTACCTGACCTGTGTGACTGTAGCCCCTTTATACATCACCTTTATAGTAAAATTTTTAAAAAATTTTGAAATCAGGCTGTGTATGAGATGGTAAAATCTTACTATACTAACCATTTTACTACCTGCACATATCCAATTACAAACCTCAGAGATACACCACAAATTGGATTTGTAAAAATAACAAATGTAAGTCAGGCAGAGCTTCGATGGTGCTGGTGGACCATGCTAGACACAGAGTACAAGGAAGTCTCTGCTACACACCATCAGCAAGTAACACTAAAGGAAAGAGGTGCCCCACGATTGTGCAAAGAAAACAAAAACCAGTAGAGCCATGAAAGGTACTTTTTAAGGTATTATTTTATTTCAGTTCTGGGTTTTTTTTTTTTTTTGAGGCAGGATCTCACTATGTAATCCATGCTGCTGGCAAACTCATGATCTTCCTACCTCAGTCTTCTGAATGCTAGGATTATAGGCATGTACCACCATACTAGCCAAAAGTTCACATTTTATTGGCATATATTAGTTGTTTAGGGGAGGGGGTTCATTATGGTATTTCTATACAAAACATACAATATATTCCAATCAATCTCTTCCCTTCTAGTACTCTCCCTTATCCTCCTCCCCCTTCCGAAAACGATATCAACATAGTTTCATTATTCTACTTTCATATATGCAAATAAACTACACCAACCTTATCCATCCTCCTTGGCCTTCCCTCCTCCCGGTACCAACCCCCAAGGCAGAGCCTACTTTACTTTCCCATCAATCACTTTTCCTTTTCAGTGAAGGCATATATTTTTACAATGTGAAGATCACAGCCATTCCATCCCTAAAGACAACAATGGCTACCTTCCATAATCCCCTATGCCCTCATCTCCAGGTACACACGCACACACAAGATGTTGCTCTCTTCTGCACACTAACTCACTTCCCACTGGGACATTTTACAGATGCCAGTGCCTGTGACAAGTGCCCGGATGACTTCTGGTCCAACGAGAACCACACTTCCTGCATTGCCAAGGAGATCGAGTTTCTCTCCTGGACGGAGCCCTTTGGCATCGCGCTCACCCTCTTCGCCGTGCTAGGCATTTTCCTGACAGCTTTTGTGCTGGGTGTCTTCATCAAATTCCGAAACACTCCCATCGTCAAGGCCACCAACCGTGAGCTCTCCTACCTCCTGCTCTTCTCCCTGCTCTGCTGCTTCTCCAGCTCCCTGTTCTTCATCGGGGAACCCCAGGACTGGACGTGCCGCCTGCGCCAACCAGCTTTTGGCATCAGCTTTGTGCTGTGCATCTCTTGTATCCTGGTGAAAACCAACCGCGTGCTCCTGGTGTTCGAGGCCAAGATCCCCACCAGTTTCCACCGCAAGTGGTGGGGCCTCAACCTGCAATTCCTGCTGGTGTTCCTGTGCACCTTCATGCAGATTGTCATCTGCGTGATCTGGCTGTACACCGCGCCCCCCTCCAGCTACCGCAACCACGAGCTGGAAGACGAGATCATCTTCATCACCTGCCACGAGGGCTCGCTCATGGCACTGGGCTCCCTGATCGGCTACACCTGCCTGCTGGCCGCCATCTGCTTCTTCTTTGCCTTCAAGTCCCGGAAGCTGCCGGAGAATTTCAACGAAGCCAAGTTCATCACTTTCAGCATGCTCATCTTCTTCATCGTCTGGATCTCCTTCATCCCCGCCTACGCCAGCACCTATGGCAAGTTTGTCTCTGCCGTGGAGGTGATCGCCATCCTGGCAGCCAGCTTTGGCCTGCTGGCCTGCATCTTCTTCAACAAAGTCTACATCATCCTCTTCAAGCCTTCCCGCAACACCATCGAGGAGGTGCGCTGCAGCACCGCCGCGCACGCCTTCAAGGTGGCCGCCAGGGCCACGCTGCGCCGCAGCAATGTCTCCCGCAAGCGCTCCAGCAGCCTCGGGGGCTCCACGGGCTCCATCCCCTCCTCCTCCATCAGCAGCAAGAGCAACAGCGAAGACCCCTTCCCGCAGCCTGAGAGGCAGAAGCAGCAGCCGCCGCCGCTGGCCCTAACCCAGCACAAGCAGCAGCAGCAGCAGCAGCAGCAACCCCTAGCCCTCCAGCCTCAGCCCCTGCAGCAACAGCCGCCCAGATGCACACAGAAGGTCATCTTCGGCAGTGGCACGGTCACCTTCTCTCTGAGCTTCGACGAGCCTCAGAAGAACGCCATGGCTCACAGGAATTCCACACCTCAGAACTCTCTGGAAGCTCAGAAAAGTCATGAGGCCCTGACCAGACACCAAGCTCTGCTCCCACTGCCTTGTGAGGACACAGACTCAGAACTGACCATCCAGGAACCTGGCAAGGGGGGAGGGTTTGCAGGAGGGGACTGCCAGCCAGAGATGGAGGATCCTGAAGAGATGTCCCCAGCACTTGTCATGTCCAAATCCAGGAGCTTTGTCATCAGCGGTGGAGGCAGCACGGTCACAGAAAACATCCTGCATTCATAACAGGAGCGAAGGCTGCCCGGGTGTCTGGGGAATCGCAGAGATAAGAGATTGCCTGAGGATGCCTTTCCTCTGAGACAGTAGAGAGAGCAAGCACACCCAGACACAAATTCAGCTGCATCGCTTTACACCACAGAGAAATGCCCAAGGCTCCCTTGGAGATTAAAAGCCATGCGCTTCTGTGGTCATTTGTTAGAGGGCTGCATCCAGTCTGCTGCCATCCACCTTCCAGTCCTTTCCTCTGCTCTCGCCTACAGCTCAGAGATGAAGCCAAGGCTTCAAGCTTCCTATCTGCTCCTCCTTTAACAATGCGTGTATATAAATAGTGATGTATACTGAAAATCATGGCCAGCCATAATCGGAATCATGGCCCCCCACTCCAAAACATATGGACTGATGCGACAGCAGATTTACCACTGCTAGAGTTGAGTCTACATGACACAATGTCACCAGGTTGACCCAACACTTTGACAAGAGAAAGAACTTAGTTGTTCAAAAACATCAGGGGGATGTGTCCTTTGTATTTATGAAAACTGTAAGCTATTTAGTCTCCTACTTATTTGCTGCTATCATGTACATCTAGGAAGTGTGTGCATCCTTTCTCTTGCAAAATGTCTGGTTTTCTGTGATAGTTATGCCCTGTGTAGATGTCAGGTTCACAGAGCATCACCTCCAATTGTTGCATAATAAACCGAATGAGTTGTATCTGTAATTAATATTGCTATATGTACTTTTATCCTTAAGCGAACTGCTTCTGTTGTAATGGTCCATGGATGAGCTAAACTAAAAAACAGTCACAGTCTGCTTTCTACAAGACAGTATTATTGAGCTCCATTTTCCTTTCCCCATGAGCAGAGCCATGCCTGACCCTCTTGGAGTATCAGTTCGGGAAGTTCCTGCCATCTTTGTCCCAATGGCTTTCTAAAGCCAAATCTATACCTGACTATGGAGAATAAGCTCCCACTCTCTGTTCCACTAACAATTGCTGGGAGGAAGAAAAAAAAACATGGTTTCAGTGAGCTCTACCCCATAAATGGCATAACAGAGTTCTCTCCAGCATTGGAACTCAATGTGTTAAGTGGTCATCTTATACTTCAATGCTGGACCAGAGGGACCAGGGTTCAAGTCCTGACTTGGTCACTTGCAAGCTAGGTGACTGATTATAGACATCTAGCACCTCTGTACGCCTCAGCTTCTTTGTCTCTAAAGTGGGGATAATTGTGATCCTTTTCTCTCAGAGCTCTTCTGTGGATTAAATGAGATAATGTATGTAAAGTACTTTAGTTCAGTGCCTAACATCTAAGAAGCACTCAATAAATATTAGTTAATACCATGGCTAATATAGTAATTTTTTTCCTTTGATGATGCTGTAGTTTGGATTCTGGGTGTCCCTCAAAATTCCATGCATCAAAGTCTGGGACCCCAGGGCAGCACTAATGTGAGGTCAGGAATCTTTCAGAGGCTGGGCCTAGTGGGAGAGCCTCAAGTCATTGGGGAGGTCAAAGGGGATTGTGGGACCTTGGCTACTTCCTCTCTGTCTCTTTTGCTTTCTGGCCATGAAGTAAGCGGTGTGTCCTGCCATGTGCTCCCTACCACCGTCAGGTCACCCCACCAAAGGCCCAACTTAGTGAATCCACTTGACCACAGACTAGAAGCTTCCTTCTTTAAAACTAGTTTGCTCCTTCTCCCAAATGAATGTCCTGACCAAAATTCACTTCTCAACATCTGAATAAGAAGTGTAAAACTTACGTTCTGGGAATTCCCAAACTTTGGCTATACAAGATTGACAGCAACCTACTGTCTTTAGAGGTGACATAGAACATCAGCCTTGATGTCCCTATGATCTTCAAAAGCCTTGCACCAGTTCGTGAATGGATAGCACCCTTATCTGGCAAGGGTGCATCCCGCCCCTTCCCTCTCTCTCTTTTGTCTCCCTCCCCACCCCCTGCCAGATGTGCATAGACACACATGCATGTGCTCTCTTATCTCCCTTCTACTTGTCACTATAGGATGATAAAGCAAGGTCTTCCCTGGATATGGACCTTTCAACTTTGGACTTCTCAGCCTCCTGGACTGTAAGAAATAAATTTCTGTTCTTTATTAATTACCTAGTCTCAGATATTCTGTTACAGTAGCACAAAATCAACTAGATGGCATGATGGATGTGTTCATTTGCTTCACCATCGTAACCACTTACTGTTGACGTGTTCTATAACATGTTGTATACAAGAACATTTATTTTTTTTTTTTGTCTTTTATTTTTGGTACTGGGGATCGAACCCAGGACGTTGCACTTGCTAGGCAAGCGCTTTGCCACTGAGCTACATCCCAGCCCACCAGAACATTTATTTTTAAGAATAAAATAAAGAGCCAGGCGCTGGTGGCTCACGCCTATAATCCTAGCTACTCAGGAGGCTGAGATCTGAGGATCACAATTCAAAGCCAACCCAGGCAGGAAAGTCGGTAAGACTCTTATCTCCAATAAACCACTAGAAAACCAGAAGTGGCACTATGGCTGAAGTGGTAGAGCACTCGCCTTGAGCTGAAGAGCTGAGGGACAGAGTTCAAGCCCACAACCAAGAAAAAAAATAAAATAAAATAAAGGGAGGAATCTAAAATAAACACACAGCCAATGTTTAAACAGACAATTATATCATCTTAGATAAGAATTACAATATGAGGCAAATTTTTTCTAGGGCTCTAATTAGGCCAATACTTTTACAAAACTTTAAATCTGTTTTATTTACTCATAAACAGGTGGAACGTGTAGAACCAGGAGTGGATTCCAAGCAGCATAACTGGGAAGCTCTACCGCCTTAGATGGAAAACTTTATCTTTTTCAATGTGAAGTAGATAGAACGTTCCTTAGTAAGATGATCAATTATGGCTGTATTAATGCCAAAATAAAGTAAGGCATATAACACTAACACCTTTGAGAATATGGATAATCACAAAAACTATAGGTGACCAAAGTTTAGAGTTTGCTTTTGAATAATCGGGAAGTACTATGGAATTGAATGCTTTCTTCTATCAGCTTTCTTTAGCAGAGACAAAATCCACTCTAATTAGCTTAAGCAGAAAGGAATTTGGGGAAATTAGGTTACTTCTAAACTGTTGGGTGATTCAAAGTTGGATGCTGTAGAATCAGGAACAATCCATACCTAATCCTTCCACAGGGTGGTTCAGGCCATAACTTACTACCTGCTCACCTGCCTTCTACTGAGCAACTTCTGAGGAAATCCCATCAGCCACGTGCAGAATTCTAGCTTCGGGCTGGGAAGGTGGCTCAGTGGTAGAGCACTTGCCTTGCATGCTCGAGGCCCTGGGTTCGATTCCTCAGCACCACATAAGCAAAAAGAAAAAAGCCGGAAGTGGCGCTGTGGCTCAAGTGGTAGAGCACTAGCCTTGAGCTGAAGAGCTGAGGGACAGCGCCCAGGCCCAGAGTTCAGGCCCCACGACCGGACCCAAAAAAAAAAAAAAAGAATTCTAGCCATTCAGCAAGTACGGAAATGTAGCCTTTGCTTTCCTGCCTCTCTCCTAGTCGACTTGCTAGAAAGTTCACAGTCTGAGGTAAAAGAGTCAATCAATCATCCACCACCTTAAACTAGTATTTTAAAGATCAAACAAAAAATGGAAAACAAACCTTCCTGAGAAAAACCAAATAGAATATGATTTCCTTTCATCTTAACAGCTGTGGTATATCAGAAAGATTCCGGGGGAACGCAGAGATGCAATTGGTGTTCTGCTTTTGCCACAAGAAAGAAGCTGATGGCAGGTGAGACACAGCAGACAGGAGAGGAGAGGAGTGTGGGGACTGGCACGTTCTGGTATAAGCTCTTTGACTTTTAAATCATATACATATGTATGTGTGTTGTTATCATACATGTTAGTATCTATTTAATAACATTTAGTAGTGACTGTGTGTACATTATAACTATGCATGTCTTAATTTCTTTTTAATATTTTCCTGGGTTTTGTTTTTTATTCATTTCTTTCCACAAAGAAAACAAAAATCTTAATTAAAAAATAAAGCTGAGGATCATAGCTCAGTGGTAGAGCATTTATTTGTCACGTGTAAGACTCTGGGTTTGATCCTCAGCATTGCAAAAAAAAAAAAAGGAACGAAGTAAATAAAACAAGAAGTTTCTTACTAGAAGTCTCTTATTAGATGTAATGATGCTGTGATCATTTTGTTTGTTCATTGTTTTGTTTTTTAGTTTTTATTTGGACATAATTTCACATTGACAGAAGATTGGGAAAAGTTAGGGACTGTAAAAAGAATGTCTTCCCCCCCCCCTACACTGCACACCCTAGATTGGCTATTGTTATTTGATCCCAATTGCTTTGTCATTTGTGCTGACCTTATTTAACAAAACACAGTGTACTTACTGTAAGTCTTTATGGGCGAGGGTGTCTGATGCCCTCGGATTAAGTTTTAAATAGAATGGGGTCCAGGGAGTGTATATGTGGATATGAATAGGTGTAAGGAAAATTATAGCTGTTGAAGCTGGGGGATGGGTATTGGGGTGGGTCTTGGGGCTTGAACTCTGGGCCTGAGCACTGTCCCTCACCTCTTCAGCTCAAGGCGAGCACTCTACCACTTGAGCTACAGCACCACTTCCGGTTTTCTGGTGGTTTATTGGAGATAAGAGTTTCATAAACTTTCCTGCCTGGGCTGGCTTTGAACTGTGATCCTCAGATCTCAGCCTCCTGAGTAGCTAGGATTACAGGTGTGAGCCACCAGCTCCCGGTGGGATGGATATTTTTGTGGGTTTAATATTTTTCTATAATAAAAAGTATTTTTCTTTAAAGCAGCCAAAGGAGTAAAGGAATTCACCAATCCAAAAGTCACACAAAAATAAATTCTCTGGGGGCTGGGAAATGGGCTCAGTGGTAGAGCGCTTGCCTTGCATGCCTGAGGCCCTGGGTTTGATTCCTCAGCACCACATAAGCAAAAAGAAAAAACCCAGAAGTGGTGCTGTGGCTCAAGTGGTAGAGCACTAGCCTTGAGCTGAAGAGCTGAGGAACAGCACCCAGGCCCAGAGTTCAGGCCCCATGACCGAACCCAAAAAAAAAATAAATAAATAAATAAATTCTCTGGTTTGACCCTGTCCTGTTTGTCATTGGGAAAGCCAGTTGTTCAGATGGTCACAACAAAAGGAACCTGACTAAAATTTTAGTTGAGAAGTAAAAAATTTGAAAATGAGCTGCACATATCACTCAATAATATAGATATGTACAGCAGCCCTAGGCTCAATTACCAGCAGCAAAAAATTAATTGAACTTAATTAAGGTAAAACCTTTACTACCAAGTTCAAAAAGTTCTCTGGAGCATAGCAAAAAGGCATTGCTGAGCTTAATGGATCCAATCATGATATTTAGTCCAATTTTGATATTGTTGGATGAATCAACTATTGTTGATATATTTAAGTTTCTTGGATATTCCTCTAGAAAAGAGGTAAAAAAAGCCCTTACAGAGCCTTTCTGGCCTTGGTGGCAATCCTTCCGCTATTACATATACAGTTCCCAAGAAATGACCTAAGGAAAGCAATTACCAACATGTTCAGGCTGAAAGAGCACCTGCTGTGCCCTGCCATGGAGAGGACTGCGTGGTGCCAACCCCCAGGTGGGGGCTGCAGAAATGATGATCTGTTGTGTGTGAGAGAGAGCGCTTACAGACAGAGCCATTCAAATGTGAAGACGATGCCAAAACATGCCATCGAGTTTTAGAAGCGATGAGAGGAGAGGGCAGGACAGAGAACAGGAAGTGGAAAATGAAGTTCTGATGGATCGGCAGAGGTGGCCTCCGCCAGACAGTCTCTAAAAGCACACACAGTGCAGCACAGGTTCCCAGGATGATTTCACTGTAGCACCATTGGCAGGAAGTACTGCCAAGGAGGGATAGAAAAGGACAGATTAAAGAAGATGGTCGTGCATATGGGCTATGAAATACTCTTCTCATTTACTCCTGTCAACGGACGGTGTTAAAACAATTTAACGATCTTAATTGCCCTTCTTTTTGCCACTCTAGGACCAGACAAGATTTCATTCAATAAAATTGCCTAGAGGATCCTATGGGCAGAGCAGAAGTAGGTTTGATGGACAAAGAAAGGCTAAACAAAACAGGAACAAAGAACTGAAATTTGGGGCTGGGGATTTAGCTTAGTGGAAGAGCACTTGCCTGGCAAGTGTAAGGCCCCGAGTTCAGATCTTAGCCCTGGAAGAAGAAAAAAAAGCTATAAAAGAACTGAAATTTATACCAAAAAGTATAATTCAATCCTATATCTGCTGCCACCTATCAG